AACCCTAAACCCTAAACCAAGCTTCAACTTCCAGGTGGAGCAGTGCATGCCGCCCTCTCCGCAGAGCTGCCGCCGCGTGATGCGCGCTACAAAGCCGAGGCCCGCTGGGTGAAGATAGAAGCCGAAAGGGTTAGGGTTTAGGGTACTAATAGGGTTTGTAGAAATCCTTTACCTCAGTGGTGAAGTTGATTACCGCTCCGTCTTCTCAAGCCTTGAAGGCAAATGTGAGGAGCTGAGCTCCATGTGAACAGCATTTGACATGAATTAGTCGAGTCTAAGAAAGAGAGGAATCATCCATATGTACAGCATTGCATAGAGCAGTACATGTCCATTCTGTGAAAAGAATTCGTCCGCCTTTGTAAGCCCATGCGTGAGTGATCCTCGTCCACACAACTGGAACGATACGAAGAAGATTAGCATGGCCTCTGGCGTTGGGGATAACCCAAATGATTTCGATCAACCTGATGATCAACAGGGTTCCTTATTATGATAGTACTATAAAGGAGCCCAAAACCCTATTCGAATTATTAAGGCGCCCACATTATACCCCAACCCTTATAGTAGCCCTTATGGAACCTTATAGAACCCTTAACGGAGCCCCCAAACCCTATTCGAATTATTTAGGCGCCTACATTGTACCCCCAACCCTTATAGTAGCTCTTACAGAACCCTTTAAGGAACCCTTTGAAGGAACCCCAGAACCCGATTCCAATTATTAAGGCGCCTACATGATAGGTGTTGAGGGTGTGGGCTTGCACGCCGCTGCGTCTGGAGATCTTTGGGTTTTAGATCCGGGGTTTAATTTCCGTTTCGTGTTTTAGGGGCTTGGGCTTTAGGGTGTAGGGCTTTAGGGTTTAGGGCTTTAGGGTTTAGGGTTTAGGGTTTAGGGTTTAGGGTTTAGTGGTTGGGGCCGTTTGGGTAGTTCTTCACTTTAGGCTGCATGCTCAGACCCTGAAACCCGAGCACCCGACCGCAAAGTCACAGATCCTTAGCATCGAATGTACATATATCCTGCAACGAAGCTCCTAAACCCTAAACCCTAAACCCTAAACCCTAAATTTCACCCTGTACCCTCAACCGGAAATCCCTAAAAACCCTAAAATGGAAAGCCTCGGCCTGAAACTGAAAGCCAATGTCCTGCCACTGCAAGCTTGACCCGTTTAGGGTTTAGGGTTTTTTCGGGCTTTTAGGGCTTTTTAGGGTTTTAGGGTTTTAGGGTTTTTAGTTTTTTTAGGGTTTTAGGGTTTTTAGGGTTTTTAGGGGTTTTAAGGTTTTTAGGGTTTTTGGGGGTTTTTAGGGTTTTTAGGGTTTAGGCGAACCTTTTGTCCCTCCTCCAGTCACGCCGGGCGACCGCAGACGCCCTGAGACGGTTGGCGCCCCGGGGCGACCAAGCGCTTCTGCGCCTCAGCGGCAGAAGGTTTCAGGTGCAGGGTTTGGCGCTAACCCTAAACCCCTAAAGCCCTAAACCCATAAAGCCTGAACCCTAAACCCCCAAAGCCCTAAACCCTTAATCCCTGAACCCTAAACCCTAAACCCTTCTGAGGGGTCAACGTTCAGGGTTTAGGGTGAGCAAAGAGAGAGGCCCTTTGCACCAGAGCCGGCGTAGCGGTGTTTAATGGTTTCTCCGTAATTAGTCGACTACGTAACCTCTAACGAACGTTCGTGGTGTAGTATAAGGTTTAGGGTTTAGGGTTTAGTCAAGTCCGGAGATGCAGAATTCGGGTTTAAGCTGTAGTCCCCCTCGAAACCGGACAAGTCGGATCTTGTACTGCTGATGGAGAGGGCCATGCAACTCAAACATTTCATGACAAAGGCTGTACCACGACTCGCTTAGCTTAGCGTGCTTGTTTCAATGCAGGACTCCGTCCATCAACCCCCCTCATAATCATCTTCTTAACCGGCCTTATGGCAAGTCGATTAGAAGTTGTAGTAGTCTTGGGACCACAAAGAGGGTAGACCCCAATTCGGGACTTATGCGTTAAGACGACAAATCCGCTGGAATCCTCCTAGGTCGGTGGTGCGTGGTTGGTCCGGCGCCTCGCGTTGCTGCAGGGGTATCATTCCTAGGTAGTATGAGGGAGACCCCTTAAAGGTGGCACTTCTTAAGCCTCCTAACTCCTAGTGGTCCTCCTAGTGTCGAGACGACTTGGGGTCTTAGGAGTCAAAAGCTTCAGCGTTGAAGGTCAAGGGTGTCTGATGCAGACTTTTTAGGGTGTCGTGTTTAGGGCTTAGGGATGGTTCCGGCGGTTCAGGCTTCGAGTGTGTTGGCATCCATCAGGGCGTTTTGGGGCAAAGATGAGGTTCTGGCATCAATATCCCATAAAGCTTGCCTCCCATAATGGGCTACTACCCCAAGCCCCAAGCCCTACCCGCAGAAGGGTCTTACCGGGCAAGCGGTCTTCGTATGATTAGCCATCGTACTCTTGAAGGTTTCCCATGATGACTCCGATAGTTCCGAATACACCCCCAAAATCCCCTTCTAATTCTGAAGGCCCTGCCCTTATCCTCTCGTCTGACGCCGCAGTGTCGCACTCCTCCAAGGGATCCAAGGGCGGGATGATGGCAATGTAGAGGCCTTGAGAAGTAGAATAGGACTCGAGCACAACTTTTGTAAGGACTCCCTAGGAATAGAACTAGAAATTGTTGAGGCCTCTAAGTAGCTGGGGTAATCCCAAACAAGAGGCATCATGGGATCCTTCTTCATCCTGCCTACTTACACCGCATCTTCGAGGCCATCGAAACCCTAATCCCACGGTCATGACTCCTAAATCCTAGACTTCAAGCTACAGCGCCAGAGCCCGTTAGCCCTTCATGCAGCCTTTGTGCCCTAAAGCCCTAAACCCTAAACTGTGGTATACTCAGCGCTAATATCGCAATACGAACACTGGCAAACCCCTAACTGGGCCCTAAGCACTAAACCTTCAATCCTAAACCCTAAACCCTAAACCCTAAACCCTAAACCCTAAACCCTAAACCCTAAACCCTAAACCCTAAACCCAAAGCCCCTAACCTTCAACTCCGCACTCTAAGCCCTCTAGTCCCAAGCCCGAGACCTTTAACACCAAACCCTAAACCCTAAATCCAAAGATAGCCTCATGGGTTTAGGGTTTAGGGTTTAGGGTTTAGGGTTTAGGGTTTAGGGTTAACCCTAAACCCTAAATCCAAAGATAGCCTCATGATCCTCTACAGGATCCCTCAACGGAAGGTTTAGGGTTTAGGGTTTAGGGAAAAAGGGCCCTTGAGGGAGACAATGGATGGGCCCTTGAATCTCGCAGCTGCGTGGCCCGAAGTGGCCCTCTACTTGCTAATGCCTGCGTTATGCGACTCTTCTTCGTTATCCGTATAATTGGTATTTTTCTACGAGTGCTACTCCTAACATCAATTGTCATTATTGTGATTGTTGTGATAAAAGCGCTGCGCACAGAAAGGGCAACAACCCCAAGAGTCAGGAAGGATCTCAGCCCCCACTCTCAGCCGGTCTCCTCAACCGGAATATCATTCCTCACCCCTGAAGCACCCTAGTACGGTTTAGGGAGTTTAGGGCCCAAAACCAGAGCCAAAAAGCTGGAGACCTGGTAGGTCCCCCGTCCTTCATTCAAGAGTTCTTTCGGGTCTATGGCGGTGCCATGGGGGCCGCCGGGGCAGCGCCAAGTCACCGTGGAGAGCGCCTTGCAGCATTCTAGGGACCCACTGCCCATAAAGCAAAAGTCGGAATAGATCACCAAAAAAACCACCCCGAAGGTTTGAAAACATAATGAAATCTGAACTCTGTCTTGTGAGGCCCCTACAGGCTTTTCAGTGGGTCTTACCCCCTTTGTAGGGACATTACTTTGACCAGTTAATGTTTAGGTGTCTTCTGCGGTTATCAGATCTGAAACCTAAAAAGGCATGAAAGCCCTAAACCTCAAACCCTAAACCTAAAAAGGCATGAAAGTCCTAAACCTTAAACCCTAAACCTAAGAAGGCATGAAAGCCCTACACCCCTGCTCAGAGCCTCACTGCTCGAGCTCGGGAAGGCAATCTCGGTTCAGCGGGATCATCGGAACACGGTTCACGGGTTCAGGGTTTAGGTTTTAGGGTTCAGGGTTTAGGGTTCAGGGGTTAGTTTAGGCTATTGCCATTTTCGTTTTGGTTGCTCTTACTTTTTCTTCTGCGTCTTACCGTGGACGAAAGGCCTACTCCTCTAATCCCTAAACCCTAAACCCTAAACCCTAAACCCTAAACCCTAAACCCTAAACCCTAAACCCTACTCCTCCAAGCCTTAAGGCTGGCTCCAGTGAGCAAGAAGCTTCGACTCCTGCTCTACAAACTGCACTTGTGGATAATGTGCCCCCCATAACCTACACGCCACTTAGACGATCTCCCCACACCCTAAACCACACTTAGACGATCTTGGGACTTGGCAATTCAGGTCGTTTTTCGGGTAGCTCAACTTAGAATGTAAACCCTAAACCCTAAACCCTAAACCACCGATAGCACCCGTTGTGGTACTTGTAACCCTACTAACTAAGTCCCAGGATCGTCCAAGTAACTCTGTTCCGGGAGTGGTCTCCAGTTTCTGAAGCCCTACCTGATGAACCCAAAACCCACTTTTTTGTAGGTTCTTATTATAAACCCTAATATGGGATTTATAATAAGGACCTACAAAAAAAGTGGGTTTGGGGTTCTTAAGGTAAACCTTAAACCCTGAACCTCAAAGCCTCAACCCTAAACCATCTTCCAGGAATGGTCTCCATGCCCACCCAGCGGCGACCCGCAGCCGCACCGCAGATGGTCATGTCTTCAGCATCTCGATGAAACGCAAGAGCAGAAAGGAACCCTTCCAGAACCCTCGTAGTAACCCTAAACCCTAAACCCTAAACCCCTAAACCCTAAACCCTAAACCCTAAACCCTAAACCCTAAACCCTAAACCCTAAACCCTAAACCCCTAAACCCCTAAACCCTTTCGGAGCCCTTAAAGGAACCCTGGGTTGCGGGTTTGGGTTTAGCGTTTCGGATTTGCGATTGTTCAGGTTTGACAACTCCAGGGTTCAGAAATCTAATGGTTTTCGTTCAAGGGTTATGAGGTCAGGGGGTTTGACGTGCAGATTTTTCGGGT